AATATACTCACATATTGTAAATCATGCAACTATAGCATACCAAAAAACATATTTCTGCTCTAATTTTCATTCCTCCAAAAACGAGGCAGTATTGGGAGAAGCTGTGCTGAAGGGAGAATTAGAGAGTAAGGTTATTTAGTATTAACCAGAACATAAGTGAGTGTATTTTTCAATTCAATCCATTTAAGTAATAAATAAACAAGTAATGGCAATACCAGTCCAACTGTCGGTAAAAGTGAAACGTTATCTGCTCTCTTTAAAAAGATGGTTTTCAGGGGTTCTTTAGTAAAGACAGTGGTTCTATGTAGAAGCATGAATACTCAAAGAAGTGTTATGATGTTATTACAATAGCAGAACCCTGTGCAGTGCAAAAAGAGTCATATACAACACGTTCTCCATCAATCTGAAGAACCATTTCACTATGCAAAGAACCGTTTAATCTGTCACCCTCACACCTTCTCCGGCTCCCTTCCGCCAGAACATCGCAGGGTGTTTGGCGCGCTAATACGGGCGAGACGGAGGGAGGAGATGGATGTAGCAAAGCCCTTTTTCTGTCCTCCCATTGTGCCGGCCTGAGAGGGTTTCACTCCATCCAGTTAGAAAGAAAAAAGGCAGAGCCACCAACATCTCAGAAACAATCAGCGTCACGGCTGACTGCAACTTGGTAAAATTATATGCAAATGTCCCCAAAGTTTCGGGGGGCTTTTTCCAGCCCTTCATTTCCACCCTGGTGGCCGACTCTTCTTGGCTTTTCCACCTCTAATCCTGACCACAGTGGAGAATAGGCCGCCTCATTTGCCTAAATACGTCTATAGAAGAAAGCAGAACTTATCCAAACTTATCTAAACTTATCCAATCTCTAGGGTCAGGATGCGCTGAGCAGTTAAGCGCTGCAATTTCATTGCACAACCAGTGAAAAATATTAGAGTCCATCAGAAAGATTCCTTATCAGATGGAACCAGTTGATTCTGAATGAAGTGGAGGGTGTTAACTTGTTTAACTTGGCTGGTGGGTGTTGGTGAAGGAAGACACTAAAGCAAACATTGTCTCACTCTGTCCTCATGTTAAATACACTTCCCCCTGCCACCGGCCAGTGTTGACCAATTGATTTTGTTATTTGCATTATATTTAAATATAGGTGGATAACACTGTGTCATAGGAGGAGGGGCTGCTTACATTGTGTTTGACCGAATCCCCTGGGAAAGAAGCTTATTGTCAATCAAGGAGTCTTAGACCAGCTAACCAATCTCCAGTTTCCTGTGGTCAGTTTGAGCAAGAAGGCTGGTGAAGAGAATACAGAAGTCCAGAGAGGACCATGAGGCAGTTGCAGTTTTCTGGACTGTTATCTTGAGATCATGATGTCATTGTCTTGTGATGTCAAGATAACAAGTTTTGTTATCTTGAGATCACAAGAAAAATGCCATGATCTTGAGAAAATAACTTTTTAAATCTTGTGATCACAAGAAAAATAAGTTCTGATCTCGAGAACGCAACTTTGTTATCTTGAGATGACAAGAAAAATAAGTTGTCTTGAGATCACAAGACAAATAAATTGTGATATTGTCAAAACAACTTTTGTTATCTTGAGATCACAATACAAAAAAATTGTGATATTGAGAAAACAAGTTTTATCTTGAGATGACAAGATGATCTTCAGAGCACAACTTTGTTATCTTGAGATCACAAGACAAATAAATATCAAAAAAACAGTTTGGTAACACTTTCTATGAATGTCACCTTTGTAAGCATCTATAAACACATTTATATCATGCTATAATGTATTCATAAGGCATTATAAACATGGTTATAAATATTTATAAAAAAGAATTACACTGAATTACACTTTATAGCCATGTTTATGATACATTATGAATTGTTAATATAATGCATTATAAATAGTGTTAATAATGTTATAATGTCAGTGCCAAAGAAGTCAGTCCCAGCTTGTAGAGCGTAAAGTAAAGACAAATACCAAGCTAACGGTGGTGAACATTACCTTTCCCACATTGGGTAAAACACTGATGGCAGCTCTAGTTTAAACTCTGACATTTGAAGCCTGTATTGTGCTTTACTGTGAATGTTTTAGTGTTTCAGTAAATCCTTCAGTAAATACTTCAACTTGTAGCCTCACTCTGAACACTGGAGGAGGCTTTAATACAGTACGGTTCACTTTACTTAGAGCGGACAAATACCACTTATGAGCTCTTATAACTTGTTATGAACAGTACTTATAATGTATTATGTTAACAATTCATACACATGGCTATAACGTATAGTGCATTTTTATAAATATTTATAGCTATGTTTATAATGTCTTATGAATGCATTATAACATGTTATGAATGTGTTTATAGATGCTTACAAAGGTGACATTCATAGAAAGTGTTACCAACAGTTCTATTATTTTGAGATCACAACACAAATAAACTGTGATATCGAGAAAACCTTTATCTTGAGATGACAAGAAAAATAAGTTGTTATCTTGAGATCACACAGCAAATATATTATGATACTGAGAAAACAACTTGTGTTATCTTGAGACCACAAGACAGTTAAGTCGTAATCTTAAGATAACAGTCCAGAAACTACCTCAGTTATAACTACCTCATGGCCTCTCTAGACTTTCCTTAAGGTGACGGTAGAACATGTAGAGTCAATCCAGCATAGGGTCACTAACTCTGTCTGTTTTGTTATTGTTTTGTTGGTTTGTTGCTTCCTTCCCTTACATGTATGCTGGATAACAGTATTTAATGCTATTAATGTAGGTCTAAATAATGGCTTTCATTTAGCTGAGAAATCTAAAAGCTACACTGACTCCAAAAAGTATTCGGACATTTGTGCTACAGTTGAAAATGTGGTATTTACCTTGTTTAGAAACAAAATGTCAAAGCAAGTGGCTTTTATTTTCAACTGTCCATTCCAAGATACTCATTTTCCTTGTGGTGTCCTTAGTATTGATTCAAAAGGCGGTGAGTGAGACTCAGGCCTTGATTTCTTTGACAAATTTTGAAAGTCTTTCTGCTCTTCTGAGTTCATGCTCACCAAAACCATTGTAAGAAGAACAACCCCAGACTTTGAGGTGTCCACCTCTGTGCTTTGCAGTAGCCTTGGTGCAGCCTGCTTGGAGTTTTTCGCCAGGCTTATTTCACACAAAGATTCTACCATCAGTCTGATCATGCGCTAAAAGCATTTTCGCTGAAACAACATTTTAGTCAACATTTAATGAAGTCACCTAAACAACTGCATTGACGTTCACCAATGATCAAACGGGGTGCAAATACTTTCGGGGGTCCCTGAACATAATGCAGCATCCAGAGCGAGGATTCAACTCATCATCTACAAATCAAGCCCTTCATAAACTGTATCGGGTATATATAGGAATCAGTACACTGCAAGCAAATAACCAAATAGCAAGGAAAGATGGTTCTTCAAGGGTTCTTTAGTAGAACCATGAGTTCTACATAGAACCATTTCATGCTTAAATGGTTCTTTGCATGGTGAAATAGTTCTTCAGATTGATGGAGAATGTGTTCTGTATGGTTCTATAAAGCATCGAAAAGGGTTCTGCTTTTGTTACGATGTCATGTAACAACAGAAGAACTCTTTTTGGTGCTATAGAGAACCATTTTCAAAAAAGGTTCTATATAGAACCACATACAGCACGTTCTCCGTCAATCTGAAGAACGATTTCACCATGCATTTCATGCATTTAAGCATGAAATGGTTCTATATAGAACTAGTTGTGTTTACTAAGGAACCCTTGAAGAACCATCCTTTTTAAGAGTGTAGATAATTAGGTGGGCAATATGACAATATATTCATTGCAATAAATGATCAGAGATACACTATATCTAGAACTCTGACCAGTTGCTTTCTTGTTAAAAAATGGATTTTGTCTGTTTATAGACAGACTGTTAAACCACTAAAGTGTCCTTTTTCACCGTTTTTCAATTATTTTTCATTGTTTCTTCTGTTCTTTGTTCTTTATGTTGAATAAAATGTATAATATATAAATATAATATATAAATGTGCCACCACCAATTTACTGCACTGTAAAACAAATTATACTAATTTGTTAAAATACTAATATAAATCAAGTAAGAGTTACTATTTGATGTATAATCCTTAGTCACTGAGGTACATTCAGTGTTTAACGTCTCGAAATAAATGATTGACATCAGTTGTTTGGCTTCATATTAATGACTTTGCCTAATTTAATGGGGACGACTGGGTGGCCATATTTTGAGGTAAAAAAACATGTTTTTCTACAATTTTAACTACAATAATCTATACATGACTATGGGATATATGATTTAAATGACAAAGAAAACAAATGCCTAATAAATATTATAAAATATATAATGAAAGTTGTCCCCAGGAGTCGTGTCACTGGTGTGACCGCATAACAACAAATCTCTTATTTTAAAATAAAAATCACACTGATGACATCACTTGACTTCCTTTTACCTGTTTTCTGAGGATCTATAAGGAAAAGCACATGGTGAGTCCACTGTGTCTTTCAGTTATCAGAGATTTTCTCATTTAGCTCACGATTTCATATGAAGCTTTTAGCTGAAGTCACTGGTGTGACCGACTTTATTCTGAGGTAATTGTGAAAAAATAGAATACAAATGGATTAAATTTCATATTTTAGTGGATGTTCCATGATTGACAACATGTGGTTTGATGCTCTGTAGCAGTTATTCTGTAAAATTCATTGTTCATTAAAAATGTCTCTGGTGTTCCTTTCTTATGTGTAACACCAATGAGGATCAGTAACACCAGTGACTTCTATGGAGAGATAGAAAAGTGGACGTTTCTGTAGAATGACCCGTCTTTCAATCCCCCCATTGCTCCAGTTTAAGGTCAGAGTTTTTCACTTGGTCAACACCACAACGTTTTACAAACAAACGTGTTTATTGCATTTAATAATCTAGATGAGCGTTAAAAATACAGGAATATGCACATATAAATTAAACAGGAACACAAACAGAACGTGTTTACAGAGCGGCGTGCGCTGGCGCGTGCAGGCCGAGCGCGCTCGCGTGCGCGTGCCCTATTAGGCTGAGGTAGTGATGCTCGAGTCCCTGCGCGGGCGCGAAGTAGCCCGCGTGCTGCTGTTGCTGCTGCTGCTGCTGTTGGTGATGCTGGTGTTGCTGCTGGTGCGGCTGCTCGTGCTGCGCGCTCGCTGACAGAGGCACCGACGCGTAGGCGAGCGCGTGCGCGTGTCCGTGCCACGCGAAGTGTCCCGGTGAGCTCGGGTATTCGGCGGGGCTCGCGCCGCTTTGGTACTCCTGGCACGGGTGGTGGAGGTGGTGGTGGTGGTGGTGGTGGTCCGCGCGCTCCGGCGAGGAGACGCTCGCGAGCGCGCCGAAGACGGGCTCAGAGAGAACGCGCGACTGCAGGAAGGCGAGCACGCGCGCGTACTTGGCGTCTTTGGTCTCCGCGCGCTCCACCGTGGTGAGGTAGTGCACCAAGTTCTTCATGCACTCGCGGTAGCCGTAGTGGAAGTAGCTGGCGAACTCCGCGAGCAGCTCACCTGCGGAGGGGGCACGCGAGAGATTAGACACGCGGTCACTGGCGTTTCTTACAGTTTGTGTTGATGTGACGAATAACTCTGGCTGTGTCTCAGATCGACCCCTGTCTCCAGTGAATATTAAACAGTTCTGTATGAAGCTGAACAGACTGACCGGTGAGGGCAGCGACTTCATAACAGGACTGGAAAACCGACAAAGAGGGTCAAAACGGTGCTCTTTTAGTTTTGGGCTCCTTGTTCCGTACTGACAGCCTCTCTTTTAGTTTTAGCCCCTCTCTTCCAAGGGTTTCTTTTGTAGTTTTGGGCCCCTTACTCTCTTCTAAGAGTCTCTAATTTAGTTTTGGGCCCCTTACTCTCTTCTAAGAGTCTCTAATTTAGTTTTGGGCCCTTTGCGCTCTTCTACGAGGCTCTAATTTAGTTTTGGGCCCCTCGCTCTCTTCTGAGGGTCTCTAGTTTTGGGCCCCTTACTCTCTTCTAAGAGTCTCTAATTTAGTTTTGGGCCCTTTGCGCTCTTCTACGAGGCTCTAATTTAATTTTGGGCCCCTCGCTCTCTTCTGAGGGTCTCTAGTTTTGGGCCCCTCGCTCTCTTCTAAGAGTCTCTAGTTTTGGGCCCCTCGCTCTTTTCCAACAGTCTCTAGTTTTGGGCCCCTCGCTCTCTTCTAAGAGTCTCTAGTTTTGGGCCCCTCGCTCTTTTCTAAAAGTCTCTAGTTTTGGGCCCCTCACTCTTTTCTAAGAGGCTCTAATTTAGTTTTGGGCCCCTTGTTCTCTTCTGATGGTCTCTTTTTTTGTTTTTGGCCCCTTACTCTCTTCTAAGAGTCTCTAATTTAGTTTTGGTCCCTTTGCGCTCTTCTAAGAGTCTCTAATTTAGTTTTGGGCCCTTTGCGCTCTTCTAAGAGTCTCTAATTTAGTTTTGGCCCCTTACTCTCTTCTGAGGGTCTCTATTTTAGTTTAAGGCCTCTTGCTCTCTTTTAAGGGTCTCTCTTTTAGTTTTGGGCCTCTTGCTTAATTCTAGGAGTCTCTATTTTAGTTTTGGGCCCCTCGCTCTCTTCTAAGGGTCTCTCATCTAGTTTTAGCCCTCTCACTCTCTTCTGAGGGTCTCTCCTCTAGTTTTGGGCCCCTCATTTTTTTCTGAGGGTCTCTCTTTTAGTTTTAGGCCCCTCGCTCTCTACTAAGGGTCTCTCCTCTAGTTTTAGGCCCCTTGCTCCCTTCTGAGGGTCTCTCTTTTAGTTTTAGGCCCCTTGCTCTCTTCTAAGGGTCTCTCCTCTAATTTTAGCCCTCTCACTCTCTTCTGAGGGTCTCTCTTTTAGTTTTAGGCCCCTTGTTCTTTTCTAAGGGTCTCTCCTCTAATTTTAGCCCTCTCACTCTCTTCTGAGGGTCTCTCTTTTAGTTTTGGGAAGTCTTATTAGAGGATAACGTCCCTTGCTTTATTCTAAGGTTCCTTCTTTCATTTTGGGAAGTTTTATGAGGTCATAAATGACATGTTGCTTTGCCCTTTTTTGTATTTGTTTTTTTCTGAGCAAAACCAACGTATAAAATATAAAATATATCAAAATATTTCTAACAAACAAAATATCACGTTGAATATTGACCTTAGAATCGAAAGCAGGATCTGAAAATATGTGTGTCCCATAATGATCAGGCTACAAAGGGACACTTTCAGTTCTTGAAAATCTGAGAATTTACGTAACAACAAACTCGCCTTCGGTATGTTAGGCTTATACACAAATATAGCAGCGGTTGGCAAGAATTACATTTTAATGGACACTGGATGTTTGTCCAGTTTGCGGTGTTGAGGGATGCTATTAGAAGACAAACGACCCAATGGTACAGTTTCTACACTGAGACCCCTTAGAAACGACCCCAGTCAGTTTAATAAGCACAACAAGACTTCTGTTGTATGTATTAAACTCTATAAATCCATTAATTACAATATTCTGAGCTTTTTTTGAAGAAATGTAGCTGCGTTTTCAGGCTGTAGTCCATCTGCCCTGCATAGACAACTCGTTATGCTTATATATGACGCTGATAATGTTTAGAACATTTTAATAATATTTTGAGAATGATCAGTTTAAAGCGCCTCCGTTCAGTAAAGCTACGTTTAGGTTAAAACTGCTCGTGACTGAGGCCCGCGTTACCTTTCTCTCTGCCTCCGCGAGGAAAGTCCGCAGCGTGGAGCGCGCGCAGATACTGCACGGTCATCTCCAAGATCTCCGCCTTCTCCAGCTTCCCGCAGTTCTGCACGAGCCAAAAACAACCAAGCTTTGTTCACAGACATGGACACATGTACCATCTGCGTGTCAGCATAGGCAGGAAAACAAGCGACTAACCCTCTATTGCACGATGTTGCCTCAAGGCAACAAACCCATTTTCCTCACTTTACAATAACATTATACATATTTAATGACAAGGACAGGGTTAAGAATGAAGGGAAGAGTTCGAGTAAGTCAGTAAAAAGCATGTACGTGGTCATACTGTCTCTTAGTGGACACTTTAAACCTCTTTTTTAACACTCAGTGTCATTTGGTTTTTGTTATGAGAATTTGCAGAAATATGTTTGTTGCCTAGAAGCAACAATGTGCCACAGTGGAATGGATTTAGCCAATCACAAAGCCAGGTCTCAGCAGTTCAGGGAACACGGTTCTATGTAATTTCTTCCCATTGTCGCACAATGTTGCCTCAGGGCAACATAAACCAAAAGGACCCCTGCACACATTATTATGTAAAAAATGTTTTTGAATTTAATAATCATTTAATAATCAAACCTTTTTGCAAGAAAAAGTGAATCGAATATTGTTTTAATTGCTCTCATAATGCGAGCAGTAGAGGGTTAACAGTTTGTTATGTTTCTAGAGTTCGGTTTAATCGATTGTAGTTGCTGAAAATAAAATGAAAGTCAAAATATCAAGGGGCTAAATTATTGAATTCACAAAATTCTGTAATTCTGAATTATAATTGTATATTTACCCGCCATGAATACTAATGAAATAAACATATATGGTCGTGTAATCGATTTCTATGCTAAATAAATAAATAAAAATATAAATATAATATAAATAAACAGCTAAATAAATCATTCAGATGTTAAGCTTCTGTTTAAAATGTCATTTATATCTTTTATTGTTGTTGTTGTTGTTGTTACTGTTATTACTATTACTGCACACGATACATCTCCCAGTAGTGAAACAGCGCTGCACGCGCTCCCCCGGCCCCCTCAGCGCGCGCGGTCTGTGAACGCACCTGTTTGGCGAGCGCCATGGGCACGGTCTTGCCGAGCTCGTGCAGGCAGCGGTTGATGCGGTCTCTCCTCCGCTTCTCGATCACCTTGTGCGAGACCGGCGTCCTCTGAGAAAAAAGGGAGGAAGGAAAAAAAAACCAGCGACGTTAGAAAGCGCGCCATGCATGGAGCGAGCGCGCGCGCCAGTCCTCCGCAGCGTCCCGCGCAGCGCGTGAGACGTGAGCGCGACGACAAAACCAAAAGCACCCGTCATCATCACGAGATCACATCACAGCCAGGTGCTGCTCAGTCAGACCTGGAAGGCGCGAGCCAAACGGTACAGAGCGCCTGTGCGCGCGAAATCTTCAGACGCTACACGCTTAAAAATACAGGAATCCCGTAAGAACCACGTCTGGTTTCCTAAAGACTCTTTGGAGAACCAAACCTGGTTCTACCAGGGCAGGGGTGCTGGAGATCTTCCACCTGCAGAGTTTAGCTCCACCCCTAATCTAACACACCTGATCAGGTGATGAAGGCCCTCAGGAGCGCGTGAGTGTTGGGTAGTGAACTCTCCAGGGTGGGAAATCTCCAGGACCAGGACTGAGCACCCCTGTTCTATAGCATCGCTCCAAAGGACGCTGTTCTCTTTATTACACGGAACCCAGAAGTTCTTCAGAGAAGCCAAAGGAAAGGTTCTTTAGAAAACCAGACATGGTTCTCTTACACGGCATCGCCTTTTCCAAATACTCCAACGTGGGTTCGGGTTCAAGATCTTCCGGTGTGCACTTACCTTCCCGTCCTTCATCTTCTTTGATGTCATCGCTTGGTGCACGAGCGCAAACCGAACGTTCATGTGCTCCGGGTCTCGTGATAGCGCGCGCGCTTTCTTCCTGTCTCAGGGCCAGACTGAAGCTGTCTGGTCGGAGTCCGGCCGTCTTATATATGAAGCGCGCGGAGGGTGTGTGTGAGGAGTGAGGAAGGGAGGGGGGGGGGTCTCTCGCACATCTTTCGTGGCCCCCTAAATTATTCCATAGGATTAAAGGCGATGATGCATGCGCGCGCTTAGGATCAGTTAAAGCAACAGTGGAAACCTGAAAGGGGGCGAGGAGGAGGTGGTGGTGGTGGTGGTGGTGGGCGTGGGGGGTTGGGGGATTGTAGCAAACCTATTTTGTTAACCCACGTGGCCACACGTGATCGGACTGAAGAGAGTCGTTTTGCACGGGAACGACGTGAACCGGAGCGCGCGCGACAGAGGCTCTCCAAAACTTCTTTACTTCCAGCTCCTCTTTCTCTCGCTCTCTCTCTCTCTCTCTCTTTTTTCTCTCTCTCTCTTTCCCTCTATCCACGCTCGCGCTTCTAGCCATCACCCCCCACCCGCATAAGAAAAACTGTCTGCGTTTTAAGACCCTGTCTACTCGGGCTCAGAGTAACTCAGTAAAGCCCATAATAGGGTGGGCAGGAGGGAGACCCCCTTTCTCTCTCTCTCCCTCTCTCTCTCTCTCTCTCTCTCTCCACTGCTCAGTTTGTTCTCACACGACTCGGTGACACGTCCACGCTCTTTCCTCTTTGTTTTCTTTTTCTTCTGTTGTTTGTTGACGCTCCCTAACTTTTTTTGTCCAGGGCAGGTGTGTGCATGCTTGTGTGTGTGCGTGCATGGTGCATCGCCCGGACCCCCTGGCGCAGTAGCGCGCGCGCACGCAGGAGGCTCACGATACCCACCGCTGGATCCTCTTTAGCACGCACGGCTCAATTTGTATCCTATTATGCTGTAAAAAAACAGTCCATTGAGCGGAATGAATGCTTTCAATTTGGGCCTAAAATGTTCGAACAAACGGAGCGAATGAGAGAAAGAGAAAGCGGGGCGCGCGCGCAGCTGGGGCCTCCTCCCCTCGGCGCGCGCATTATTCTCCCTCCCCGTCTCCCCGTCACCTGCGCGCGACGCTATTCATTTGCCTAATTTCAGGGGGTTAGACTTAACAAACTTTTCTCACTCTCTCTCTTTTCTCGAAGGGGAGGAGGAGGAGGGGGGGCTTTCTGATCCAATTAACGGCGCGTTTCGACGCGCTCAGCGTCATCAGAGCGAACGAGACAATTGCGCGCGCGCTGCGCACAAAAGGGGCCGTGCCACGCTGGCGCTGGGAGGGGGTGGGGGGCCGTGGGGTTGTTGCTCGAGTTGGTTGCCCCCGACAAAGGGCATTATTTTCATACTTGAATACATTTTCCTGCAACAATCGGCTGTTTTCTTTAAACAACAAAAAAAGCAGAAACCGCGCTCATTGTGCTCGCGGGGGCTCACACCGCGCGCGCGCCCCTCACGCGCTCTCGCCGCTCCTCCGCCGCCGTTTGAGCAAAAATAACACGTCGACGAGGAGGGGGAAAGTGAGAGAGAGAGCAAAGAAAAAAGAAAAGAAAGAAGAAATAAAAGATGTGGAGCTTTAAAGGAGAAGAATAAAGGCGCTTTCTGGACGCGCATGTGGAGCGATGGAGAGAGAAAAAAGGCACCGGTGGCGCAGAGTAGAGCATAAAATCCCATTACTATTATTGTTGGATTGAACACTAGACGGGATGCAGACGGGCTTGGGAAGATGAACAGCAGAAGTTTTATTATTTTTGACTTCTCTGAAAGGCTGTCTGAAGCCCCGTAGAGGGGAGCGAGTGCTAAAGCCGCCAGAAAGCGCCGCCGGTGCGCGCGTAAACCGCTTTCTCCAGCCACATAAACGCATTTAGCCTCTCACCGCTGCATTAAATCCAGCTTTTAGCGCGTGGTTAGCCGCTGTGGATCTTTTACGGATTGTAAAATATGCGATATGTGCCGGTTTTGTTCACTTAATCTCAGGAAACCAAAGTGTCCACCGCGCGTCTCCAAACGCAACCGAAATCCGTTGCTTATGGTCATCTTTTCCGTAATATTCCTTGCTGTGTTTATAAACCAAAGTTGAAAACTATATTTGTATATTAATTTCTAAGGTCTTTAGTGTTGAATATCGAGTGAATTATTTAGCACGGTTCACGTTTTGTTGTGAAGATTTCCGTGCGTAAAACGTGCGCCAGCGCGCTTTTTGCGCATTTTTAACGTACTTTTCAACGGGTAGTTTTGATAGCAGTGTCCGGTCACGCTTAAAACAATTTAATTTCCTTTTAACCAACACATTTCTGTCATTAACTTGCTAAAACCACAACAGGCTCTTCATTGTAATGTATTTTTTATATATTAAATAACTGACAAGTTAATAATTGTAAGAATAAATAAATAAATAAGTAAGTAAATGTAACTTAAAGTAGCGTTTTCGAGTTAAGATCCGCCTCATTAGTGATTAGTTCAGAGGGAAATATTGCTGTGCAAAGCTGGGAAACTTGCACGCACGCACACACGCGCGCGCGCGCGAGCACGGGGCAGCGAAGCGAAGGGTCTAGCAGTCTGAATAGGGGACAAAAGGAGGAGAGGCTACCTGAGAGAGCGCGAGGAGCTAAGCATAGTCATGCATGTCAGTCTGATTAGAGTCCTACAACTTTCTCACAGCGACCCTACAGCTTTCACTGCGTGGGTGGAGCCACGGAGATAACGACGCACTGTAGGGCTGAATTAAAGCAGAGACGTGTTTATTATTATTGTTATTATTATTATTATTATTATTATTGTTATTATATGCTTGTTTATTTGACCTGTTTATTCACACACTGTTTTCAACTCAACTTAAAATATGTGGTGACGGCAAGTTTAATAGTTTTGATCACGTCAGATAAAGGAAATTCTAGTTTTGGTGAACAAAAGCAGTGTTTTTAATCAGCACAAGACATTTAAAATCAGTATCTGTCCTGCACTGCAAAAAATGTCGTTGTTTTAACTTAAAGGGGAATTCCACCAATTTTTCTAAATTTCTATACACTCTAGTCCTTGAAATTTGAGAGTCCTTGAGATGTAAACAGAGTGATTCAGAGTGGTTTGGTGTGAAATGGTTCAGATGTCTTTACAGTGGTGGTGATAGGAACCAGGGGTCGTCATGACTACAACACAAATATAGACATTTTATTTACTATCAAAACCACCAGTGAACCTACACGAGTCCTCTGAGTTTATATGGAATGTTGATGATGGGAACATAGGCATAAATATGAAAATAAAAGTTTTCTTTTGTGGACTATTTTGCCTCAGAACACTCTTCATGTACCCCTCTGTCATGGATAAATTAAAATGAATAGATTCAAATACATCTTAAGCCAAAACATTGTAAAAAAAAATAAAAAAAAATGTTTTAGATGTCAGGCAGCAAATTCATAACCATTTCATGAGGGAGCTTTTAGAGGTGGACGTCTGGTTCCTATCACTACCACTGTGCACTATTCTGACTCGGTAAGTTTCTCTAGAACAGAGCGTTTCACACCAAACCACTCTGAATGACTCTGTTTACATCTCAACCATTTAATTACGTAGAACTTTTAAAAATCAGTGGAGTTCCCCTTCAGTAAAGAAACCCGGCTGCCTTAAAATGTAAACAGAGTAAACAGAGTCGTTCAGAGTGGTTTGGTGTGAAACGCTCTGATCAGGATAAAGTTACTGAGTCAGAACTGTTCACAGTGGTGGTGATAGGAACCAGACGTCCACCTCTAAAAGCTCCCTCACAGAAAGTTACTACATGAAATGGTTATGAATTCACTGCCTGATGACTGAGACGCTGTTTTATGGTAGTTTTGAGATCTTAAACTCCATTCATGGTGGAGGGATACATGCAGGGCGCTGTGAAGCAAAATAGTCCCCAAAGAAACTTATTATTTCAGATTTTCCACTATTTTCCATCATCAACATTCCTAAACTCAGAAGACTCGTGTAGGTTCACTGGTGGTTCTGGATAGTAAATAAAATGTCTATATTTGTGTTGTAGTCATGGCAACCCCTGGTTCCTATCACCACCACTGTAAAGACATCTGAACCATTTCACACCAAACCACTCTGAATATCTCTGATTACACTATGTATCTATGAGTTACGCAGAAATAAAAATAAAATCAAATTTTTCACTTTTTAAAAATAAAGATTTTACCTTTTTAAAAACAGAATCAGTTGTTTTGTATATATAATTTATTTGAACCAATCAGTATGTTTCTTTGTCTCCCAAACTGAACAAACTAAGGATAGATAGACATTAATTATATTGCATTGTACCTAAATATGTTGGATTGATGACTCTGACTCTAATCTGTTTGAATGAAAATAGGTATGAAAGTGCACGTTTTTATTGTATTGTTAATAAAACAAGTAAGTGTATTGATTAGATGCTCCACACCCCAAACCCTACTGTTTACACTTTTTTTTATTACCCATAATCCCATGCCTGCAGGTCATATTTGGTGATGATGATGATGATGATGATATTTAGTCCATTTCTATCCTGCTTCACTCTCATTTAGAAGTAGACTGTGGAGTTCAGCACGAGGCTGAAATCAGCTTCCTTCTGGAACTTTCCGTTCCACCTTAAATGGTGCAGCGGTTACATTCTGGCGCTGTTACACTCTTCATTCACACTGCATCATTTAAGGTGGAACGGAAAGTTCGAGTGAGAAGAAGATAAGAAGCCAACTTCAGCTTCGTGAGCTCAGTTTAGTCTGTTTGAGTTCAAGTGTAGTTCTTAGTGTCACAGCGCCACCGTGTGGAGCACCACATCATTAACACTGAAATGAAACTGAGCAGCTTCAGGAAACTTGTGCAGTTGGTTTACCACAGATTTATATATCTATATATCTATACTCTATTTACACATTACACCCCATAAACAGTGAAACAGAGTTTTTTAACTTACATTTAAACTCTGAGAAGTGTAGATTTAATAACGCACCCATTAATATATCACATCCACT